GTGGGCACGTAAAAAATATTAAATTTAAACGGGGGCCATCCCAAAAAAAATTGGTTAAATAACATTTTATTTTTAAGATAATCCTGGTTTAATAGGGGGGTACGTAAAAAAAATTCAGGTTGGGAAGGGATCATACTTTGTTTTACTTACGTCTTACAAAATCCCATCACCCCCCCCCCCTTAGCGCAGGAAGGAAACCAGAAAACCCATAGCGGAAGCTTCGTTCAAGGTGCATTGTGGTCTAGCTTGGGTACAAACTTCTTTTATCATCCATGCCTTATATGGTGTTGTTCGAAGCTCGATCAAGACCATAATGCATTCTGTTCATCGCCTTCAGAAAAGGTCTATAGCATACCTCGTTTTGGACCACCCCCCCTCCCCTTTCCCCCACTCCTCTCTTTGCACTTCCCTCCTGACATACATACCTCATATCTAAGAGTCCCTCTGACCACAGTATCAGCAGTCTGTATATTATATCTCTCCCTATACACAGTAGAATCACGGTTTGGGTACGCTTCTAATCGAAATCCAGGGAATTGATCTGTTGGTTTGATTTCTTCAAGAAGACGTTCTCCTGGTGCAACCTCAACTGTCTGGTTCAACAACAACGCAGTGAATCAAGCTCAAAACTGTTACGTGCTCAAGCTACTTTAAATCTTAGAGCGGCTTTCGTGTGAGTGGTAAACGATACGGGAAATCCGTAGAGGCTTTGCACCATCACGTGATGGCAGCCATGACAGGAGGCACAGTCGTTCTCCCCTGTGAAACTGAAAATTCTTTTTCATGTAAATCAGACGTAACCAGGTTCAATTGTTCCTGCCTCCTGTCGCTGCCATCACGTGATGGTGCAACGCCTCTATCTGTGCCGTATCTTACAGTGACCGTAACTAAGCTTTGTGATTGGATGAATTACTGGAAGAAAATGGGAAGCCATTTCAATGTTTAATACGGCATGTCATACCGTGCACGTGCTGTAATTCAGTACCGTGTGTTATGGCAGATTGTATTGGCAGGTGTGTCTTGCCATAAATCAGGGGGTAGTGAAGTCAACAACATTACAACCAGAGGCATAACCAGGGATCTTGCGGGGGAGGTGAACATGCAACGATTTGCAGAACCAAAAAAAAAAAAAAAAAAACAGAAAAACCAGAACGGGAACTTCGTGCAAGGTGCATTGTGGTCTAGTTTGGGTACAGTGGCACCAGAGCACCATGTGCTCCCCCTGGTTACGGCCCTGGCAACCAGTAAATAGACCTTATGACATTTTCCCCGGTGTATGTGTGTAGGCGAAAGAGAGTAATATCTGCCTTACCTTCCCGTACCACAGATACTTTGCCCCGTGCATGATGCTCATCAAACCTGCTCGAGGATTCCAGCTGGAAAAATATATATCATTATGATAAAATATATTAGTCATCTAATGCAAATGACTATTGAGGCTTTGCGCCACCACGTGATGGCAGCCATGACAGGAGGCWGGAACAATTGAATCTGGTCTAATCTGATTTACATAAGAAAGAATTTAGTTTTCCATGGCTGCCATCATGTGATGGTGCAAAGCCTCAATACTTGTTTGTAGTTAAAAGGGAGAGAAATGGAGTAAGAAAACAGGTAGCCCATTTTAACCCCCAAGTTTGGGCTGCCCGTGCCAAGAGTTACGAAATCCACTTGGGCGTAATGTTTTACCAATTCAGACCACTTGYCATTACCTTAAAAGATTATATGCTTGATTTGTATTCATATTCATGTGTCTTCTCACAAATCGTTAAACAAAGAAATAATAATCTAGAGAATGACATGTGGTCTGAAATGGAAAAGCATTACGCTCAAGAGGATTTCATCCATCAAAGTTGCCTATTCAAACAAACCTGAATTTATATCTTAGTGGGTTGTCAGCACATTCTGGTGCAGGCAGACCGCCACAGTATGACAAGAACGATGTGATCTGGAACACAATTATTCAGAAGATAAATGAGAAACTGAAGAACGAAAATATGGAACTTTATTTCCCTTCTTAGGCAACAGGCACTCCTAACCAGTGGGACGCTGTGAGATGAGTGATAATGATTTATTCCCGGCTCAGTATTGCTGTTGATGTTGTTGCTAATTATGATGTTGTTGATGATGTATGTAACATGTTAATGTTATGTTAATTTGATCGTGATGATGATAATAGTGAGTACAATACTGATAAATAATGATGCTGCTGCTGMTGATGATAGTGTCTGCAATACTGATAAATAATGATGCTGATGATGATAGTGTTTGCAATGCTGATGAATGTTGATGATGATGGTGACGATGATGTTGCTGACGATGGCGATAGTGATGATGGTGACAATGATGATGATGATGATGACGATGGTGATGATAATGGTGACGATGATGATGATGATGACAATAATGATGATGATGGTGACAATGATGTTGATGATGATGACGATGGTGATGATAATGGTGACGATGATGATGATGGCGACAATGATGATGATGATGATGACGATGATGATGTTTACGATGATGATGACGATGGTGATCGTAGTGTTGATGATGGTGATTATAGTGTTGATGATGAACGATGGTCAAGAAGATGATACAGTCCCCACTGACCACAGGTACTACCATAACCATTATCACTTTGACAAATTCTTTACCTTTCCGCCTTCTTCCTTAACATCATCAAAACACTCCATGGCAAGCATGTGATCAATACCTGGGTCTAAACCCAACTCCATACCAATAGAGATATTCGCATCAACAGCGCTGTAAAATAGCATATTATTAAAATGACATCATGAGGTTCTAAGTGCATGTACATCTCTTCTAGTGAGACAAACGACGAGGCCGCCATGCTGGTTACATAACAAGAGAAACGACGACCAATGGTGCTTACCATTTAAACCAATTCATCCGGTTGGAAATTCGTTTGTTGATGGTAAGAAAAGAGCGGGAAACTTTGACTTCCGACAAACGGTACACGCGTCTACCGGTGGGACCGAAAAGAGCGGTAAAAGTAATTTACCTCAATCGGAAGAGCGAGTTTTCCGGAACTTTATGATGGGAATAACACATACCATTTATCTTTCCAACCGGAATTTCCGGTTTTTCCAGATAAATGGTAAGCACCCCATGGCGGCCATCAGGACGTGACCCCCCAAATAGCAGGACCAATCTACCACTACTTAAGCGTAATGTGTTTTATCTTTCCTTTTCAGACCACCTGTCATTCCCTTGAGAATAAGATTCTTTGTTTTAGTTGTATCCATATTCATGTGTCTTCTCATGAGCAACTGTTAAACGAAGAAATGGTACTCTAGGGAATGACATGTGGTCTGAAATGGGAAAACAGTTGAGTAGGTATATCCTTCCTATTTCTTGTAAAAGATCCAAGAGTAGCCTCTTGCAGACGTCCTTACGGTCGCGCATTCTAAGAATGTCTGCGTAGTAGCTAGTCAAATAGTAGCTTTTTCTGATAACTTACGCCTGATGTATATCTGGATCTAGTACATGAGAATAACTTGAAGTCAACAGGTTTTTCTTCTGTTTGATGCATTTCTTTGCGACAATATCATGAAGCTCATAAGGAACCATGCTGCAGGAGAGAAGAAATAAATAAAAAAAAGGAAGAAGGAAGGAGGGGAAGGAGGGGAAGGAGGGGAAGGAGGGAGGG